TTTATTTCATAAAATTATATTGAATGAAAATGCTTTTGAAATTATGCAATTATAATAGAAATAGTTTTTATACCATAAAATATGTAAAATAATATGAGATAAATAATAAAGGTGCTACATAATCTAACTGTGCAAATATATTGAAAAACGTTAATAAAATAAGGGATAAATAAGTTAATACAACAATTACAAAAATATTTCATATAAGAACAATATTTACATATTCAGTATAAAAAGTTAATAATTATATTAGTTTTATTTAATCTTCTTGATTAATTTCTTTCCTTAACAAAATTTAAAAAAAATGTCATAGATCTATAATTTGTTTTTTATTATAATTAAGACAATATATAAATACATATAGGACTGAATTAATTATTTATTCCAAAATGTCTATATTAATCGAATATTTGATTTTCTATTTTTTCTTATGTATGGTGAAAGTTATTGTTTTTTCTTAAAATTATTGTGGTACACTACTAGTATGGTTGAATGAGAGGTTGAAAGGTAGCAGCGTGAACTTAACAATATCGAGAAGGAATAAGTATGGTAAAGCCGCTGCTTCGCCTTCAAACTTTAATCTCTCTTGTTCCGTTCTGCTATAATAAGATTGCACCCAAAACATGAATATCTATAAATTAAATTATAATTAACTAAATTAACATTTAAAACTAGTATATCATTTATTCTACTGAGTCAAAGATATAAATTTAAGAAACGAGTATTATTGATATATATATATATATATAGATTTAAACTCTTTAGTTTTCCCTATTTATGCGGGGTTTTCCCATTTTGATATTATTCTTATTAGAATCTCCAAGTGAGTCCTTAAAAGTGTTAATTTGAATCAATTGAGTCTCTGCCGTTAAATTTACTTAACAGGATTAAGTTTGTGCACAAGTGGAAGGTTGATGTGTCTATTTTTTAAGACGTGGCATGGTGAGAGTTGAAACGTGACATGGTGAGACCTGGAATTTGGTAAAATGTAATAATTTAATATTTATGTGGGTAAATGAAGAAAAATTATCTTTTCCAAGAGCAGAAACCATTCTCAATGCAGAAAAATCCAACAGGGGAGCTCTTTTGCGTGAAGAGATTGGAGCAATTCTTGGCACCCATTTTAGATCGAAGAGGATTCTCATAAGCTATGGAGTTAACCATATCAAAAGAGTCACCAAAAGCATTGTCAGAAGTACTGGAATAACCATTTAACATTCAGATCAAACTGATCCGCCCATAAATTCTCTGTCCTAAACAAACCCAGCAACCCCATTTAACATTCAAATCAAAACCCACAAAGCTAAGATGTTCTTCTTCAAGACATTCTCAACAAAAACAATTAACTTTTTTCTTCTAATTTGTATTTTAATCCACTCACATTGGTTCCAAATCTCCTACCATGCCTATTATCCTTCTTTGTTTTAATTTTCTCTAACTAATGCTAATTTTAAACAAAGATACCCTATTTAACATGAATCGATTGAAAAATTGGAACCAAAGGTAAACGAAAAATGATACCCTGGAGTTGAAGGGCATTAAGGTAGAAGGTAAAGATGTCAGTTTCAGTGTTGCAGTGACTAAGAAATGATAAGAATGGATATTGAGTTTGTTGTTGGATTGTTGATGATGAGAACCACCATAAGAATATTCATTGAGGCGCATCGGGTTACTGTACGAGACTGATTTCGGCTCGGATCTCGTTATAGGCGTATTCGATACCGGAATCTGGCCGGAGCGCCAGAGTTTCAGCGGTCGTGACCTGGGGCCCGTTCCTGCCTAGTGGAAGGGCGAGTGCGTCGCCGGGAAGAGCTTCTCGGCTACCTCATGCAACCGAAAAATCATCGGAGCTAGGTACTTCTCCGAAGGGTACGAGGCCACCAACGGGAAGTTGAACGAGACCGTCCACCTTTTTTAAAAAATAAAATCCTAGCTAATTAATTTCAAAGACTTTCGTTTATGTGTGGATGGAAACTCAATTTCAGGAGATGAGGGGTTTGGATCCTTCCAAACAGATATGTATCAAGCAATTGTTGCTGCTACTGTTCGGGAGATGAGGGGTTTGGATCCTTCCAAACAACATTCTGCTTCCATACTTCAATTTCAACAACCGCAGAATTTCCCAAACAGGACAACTGCTTTTGTGCAGGCCCAGATGTCGCAGCAGGCCCAGATGTCGCAGCAGCCACAACATCAGCAGATTTTTGGAAATAATCAAGAGAATCAACATTCACCACAATCTCAGCTGCAAACTCAGGCTCATCTTCAGCAAGCTATCTCTTCCTTGTGCCAACAACAAAACTTTTCTGATTCGAATGGGAACTCTGAGCCTACTATTGTTTCTCCCCTGCACAGTATCTTGGGTTCATTCTCGCCGCGTTCAACGCTGCCGTGGTCGACGACGTCGACGTGGTGTCGCTNATATATATATATATAGATTTAAACTCTTTAGTTTTCCCTATTTATGCGGGGTTTTCCCATTTTGATATTATTCTTATTAGAATCTCCAAGTGAGTCCTTAAAAGTGTTAATTTGAATCAATTGAGTCTCTGCCGTTAAATTTACTTAACAGGATTAAGTTTGTGCACAAGTGGAAGGTTGATGTGTCTATTTTTTAAGACGTGGCATGGTGAGAGTTGAAACGTGACATGGTGAGACCTGGAATTTGGTAAAATGTAATAATTTAATATTTATGTGGGTAAATGAAGAAAAATTATCTTTTCCAAGAGCAGAAACCATTCTCAATGCAGAAAAATCCAACAGGGGAGCTCTTTTGCGTGAAGAGATTGGAGCAATTCTTGGCACCCATTTTAGATCGAAGAGGATTCTCATAAGCTATGGAGTTAACCATATCAAAAGAGTCACCAAAAGCATTGTCAGAAGTACTGGAAGAACCATTTAACATTCAGATCAAACTGATCCGCCCATAAATTCTCTGTCCTAAACAAACCCAGCAACCCCATTTAACATTCAAATCAAAACCCACAAAGCTAAGATGTTCTTCTTCAAGACATTCTCAACAAAAACAATTAACTTTTTTCTTCTAATTTGTATTTTAATCCACTCACATTGGTTCCAAATCTCCTACCATGCCTATTATCCTTCTTTGTTTTAATTTTCTCTAACTAATGCTAATTTTAAACAAAGATACCCTATTTAACATGAATCGATTGAAAAATTGGAACCAAAGGTAAACGAAAAATGATACCCTGGAGTTGAAGGGCATTAAGGTAGAAGGTAAAGATGTCAGTTTCAGTGTTGCAGTGACTAAGAAATGATAAGAATGGATATTGAGTTTGTTGTTGGATTGTTGATGATGAGAACCACCATAAGAATATTCATTGAGGCGCATCGGGTTACTGTACGAGACTGATTTCGGCTCGGATCTCGTTATAGGCGTATTCGATACCGGAATCTGGCCGGAGCGCCAGAGTTTCAGCGGTCGTGACCTGGGGCCCGTTCCTGCCTAGTGGAAGGGCGAGTGCGTCGCCGGGAAGAGCTTCTCGGCTACCTCATGCAACCGAAAAATCATCGGAGCTAGGTACTTCTCCGAAGGGTACGAGGCCACCAACGGGAAGTTGAACGAGACCGTCCACCTTTTTTAAAAAATAAAATCCTAGCTAATTAATTTCAAAGACTTTCGTTTATGTGTGGATGGAAACTCAATTTCAGGAGATGAGGGGTTTGGATCCTTCCAAACAGATATGTATCAAGCAATTGTTGCTGCTACTGTTCGGGAGATGAGGGGTTTGGATCCTTCCAAACAACATTCTGCTTCCATACTTCAATTTCAACAACCGCAGAATTTCCCAAACAGGACAACTGCTTTTGTGCAGGCCCAGATGTCGCAGCAGGCCCAGATGTCGCAGCAGCCACAACATCAGCAGATTTTTGGAAATAATCAAGAGAATCAACATTCACCACAATCTCAGCTGCAAACTCAGGCTCATCTTCAGCAAGCTATCTCTTCCTTGTGCCAACAACAAAACTTTTCTGATTCGAATGGGAACTCTGAGCCTACTATTGTTTCTCCCCTGCACAGTATCTTGGGTTCATTCTCGCCGCGTTCAACGCTGCCGTGGTCGACGACGTCGACGTGGTGTCGCTTAAGGTCGGAGGAGTGGTGGTGTCGTACCACCTCGATGAGATTGCGATTGGCGCCTTCGGCGCCACCTTAGCTGGCCTTTTTGTTCCTCCTTAGCTGGCAATGACGGTCTCGGTGGCCTCACAGTGACGAATGTGGCGTCTTAGGTTACCACCGTAGACCACTAAACTCCTTCAACATTGAGGCACGAGATGGTGGATGCGTGAAGAAGGTGGCGATGTAACAAAGGCGATATTGACGTTTTCACGATGGCTTCACGGTTGCTGCATAGCAAGATGGTAATGGCGAGACTGAAGGCTTTACAGCGACTTTACGACGACGATCGTTAGGGTAATTAGGTTTGTGCTGTTGGAAAAGATGACTCTGACATAGTATGAGTGATGTGGCAAAAAATGGCCACGTCAATGTTCTAACATGTGCACAAACTTAACCCCACTAAGACAGGGGCTTCATTGATTCAAATTAGCGCTTTTAAGAACTCAATTGGAGATTCTAATAAGAAGGAATCAAAATAACTAAATAGTTTAAACCTATATATATTACGCAAATTTTAGGAAAAGATGAATTCAAATTTAACTAATTTTTCTGACAGTCTCAATAGCCCGGGTTAAAATAGAATTTAATTTAATTTCATCAAAATACATCGTATACTAATTTAAATCAATTCCCTAAAATGCATTACATATAAATTCAACCATATTCTACTGGAGAAAAAAGGGATATGACAAGTTAGCTTTGTAAGTAAAATTATTAATGTAAATGTTTATAGTGTCAATTATTAAGAGAAAAATTATAAATTAATAAATAATTATTAAAAATATATACTAACTTATTATTGAAGGACAATAAAAATATACGCTATTGACAACCTTATATTAGGTACTGTAATTGAATTATATTAAATGTTTGAAAAGTGACTCCACTTTGATGTCAATTTGCTTGCGTCAAGACCATTAATTTTCAGCACCGTAACAAAATAAAGTACCATGAAACCACTTTGGGGTAATGAGCTGTCATTACAATCACAAGTCAACCTAAAAACCTTAGGAAGTTAATCAACCCACTCAATAGCCCTTGAAAACGAAAACGAAACCTTATCAAATCATATGATTCGAAGGTGAACTCTACATTCGTTACAACGTTCCCAAAGAAAATCAACAATTTTCACGGGAATGTAAAAGAATGACTTTCCCACAGAACATATCCATACTCAAACTTTGACTATGAAATCAATATCATGCTTTAACAAAATGCAACTCTTCAAAGGCCATACATGACAAAAATTACTAGTTTTATAAGGAAAAGAAAAATTACAAGTTTCATATAAACGTGATCCTATCTTCACCCACCATAAAACCAACGCAACGAACTAAACAGGGGGTCATTGAGTTCAACATTGAGAATTTTATATAAAACAATAGCCCTAGAACAACGATAGAGAATCGAAAGTAATTGATATAAGCTTTTATTGCGTCAAAAACTTCATGTTCTATTGCACCGAAAACCCAAAAAGTATATATTTTTTTTTCCTACGATGGCCTATCTGTATTATGTACACAAACAGAATTAGAAAAGCATATAAAAAAATAGCAAAATTAACTCACAAAATGTCTCAAAAATTCACCAGGAGGCTTGAGTACCGCAGATCCATAACGCCTAGTATTCCTCCCTTGTTTTCTTAACACATCACGCGAGGTGTGAACGGGTTGATTGTCATCATGTTACCAGTGCACCGCCAATGTCAAAGAACCTATAGACTTGCCTGTTAATAACCAGAAGTGAGGTATCACTCTAATGACTCCAACACAGTGCAAAACAATGAACCATCGTTCTCAACTTCTTATCCGCCTTAAAATATCAGCAGGTACACCTACTGCTGATACAAAACTCACAAGCCTTCTTTTCATTATCAAAAGAAAGGCAAATCCTCTACTTGCTACCCATATCTTACAAATTGGCACCAAAAAATCTATAGAGATTCTTTGTGATGGTTTGAAATTAATAATCCTATCACACTTCTCAAATATAGCACACTGATGTCTCAGCATTAGTTGAAACTACTATGAAGACAGTCCCACAGTTCAAGGGCGAGGAATTAGAGGAAATGTTTAAGAAATCATATCCTCAGTGTGATAAATACAGAGGAAATGTTATCATTTTCAGCCACACAAAAGGCAATCATCAAGCATTTAAAAGTTTTTTCATCACATCATAGCAAGGAGCTGTGGATAAATACAGAACTACAAGACAAATTGCTTTTCAATTGGTGCAGCAGAAATGAATTATCACAATAAACTTCCAAAAATTTCATAAAAATAACTAAAACTGTATGACAAAAACAAGACATGGAAACACAACACCCTAACAAGGTTCAGGAAATCAAATCATTCATGCAGCACGCAGTTTTAATTTCTTCAGGCGTTTGACAGATGGAGAAACACCTTTAATTGCCTTCCTGGCCTTCTTCATTTTTTGCTTTTTCATAGGAGGTGGCATCTCCCTGATGGGACCCGGAGGCACACCCTTTTTGAGTGCACTTCCTCTGGGTGTCGCAGAGGGAGGCAACCTCAAACTCTGAGGAGGTAAAGGACTGTGTGGTTTCCACACCAAGTTATTTTTCATTGAAAATCTTACCTTCTTTGCACTCTTTTCTCCACTCTTTGCCACGGCACTCTCTTTACCAACAACGCCATTCAAATCAGCTGAATCTTGGGAGGCCTTCCCTTTCAAACTCTTTGTCCTCTTCCTCTTCTTAGACACAGTTTTGGAGGTAGCAGACACAACCTCAGGCGATTCAGACACACTTGCTGCTTCTTCATCCAAACCCGTCTCCTCAGCCACTTTCTCAAACTGCTTTTGCAGGTTAGCAATCACAGTCTCACTGAACATCATCGCGTTTCCATCATTAGCATTATCACCATTCTCACTAGCCACATTCTCCTTGCCACTCTGCGCAGCACCAGCGAGATCAGACGTATCACCCTTCTTCTTCTTCCTCCTCCTCCTCTCCGTACTCTCGCCCCCATTAACATTCACCTCCTTAACCTTCTCACACTTCTTCAACACTTCACCATTACCAACAACCTCTGCGGGCCCTAATGGAACCAATTCCGGCACTTCCTCTTCATCAACAACATCAGGAATCAGGATCTGAACCCCCGAATTCACAGCCTCCTTCTCCAACTTCAAAAACTCAGAATGCAGCGCAAACAGCACCTTCCTATTTCCCTGCCAGCACTCAGCAGAAGAACCCATTTCATATAACCTCCCGGAAAACCCCATAGTCAAGGCAACAGTTCCAAGAACGACAACCTCGTCACTAGAATCAGCAATCTCGTCCCCACTCTTCTTAACCCCCAACAACGCTTTCCCATTCTTAAGCAACAAACCAAACACGCCAGACCTAATCTTCCCTACCAACACCTTATCGTGGACCCTCCCCAAAGCGGAAATAAACGGCTTCAACAACACTTCCAGAACCTGCTGCTTAAGTGGTAGAAAAGAGCGAAGCTCCTCAAGAAAAACAGTGGCAATGTGGTAATTAACACCGTTGCCGTGGGCCTTATTCTCCTGAGCGGAGAAAGTCCCCTCGTCGAAAACACCCATTAAGCTCTCCACAAGTTGGAGATCCCAGGAATTGGTTTTCAGTAGAGAGAAGAACTTGGAGACGAACCTGCGGATGAGAAGGTAGAACTTGTCGAGTCGAAGGGCATCGATTCCGGACCACTCGCGGCGCATGGTGAGAAGGAAGATGGAAAAGTACTGGACGGCGAGAGGGAGGTGGAGGGACAGGAGAAGAGATGATAAGCGATCGACAAGGTCGGCTTGGACGAGGGGCTTGTCGGAGTGCCACATGCAGTAGAAAAGACCCTTCCAGAGCTTCTTGGCGTCGTCGTTTGAGAGCGGTTGTGACTGCGAAGGAAGCCACGATTTGAGGAGGAGGCGAAGAGTTTTCTCTCTGGTGGTTTTCTTACAGCACGCCAGCTGCTTGATCAGAGACCGACCCACCTGGGACGCCTGCTCCTCCTCCATTCCCAAACACAAACCCTAGTTGCTGCTGCGTTCACCGTCGCAACGCCTTTGGAGTTCTTTTAACAAAACCCTAACAGGTACGGCGGTAGCAGCCCGCTGCGGGTTTTAACAATCTGATTTTTAGAAAAAAAATTTCCTGTAATAATATTTTTTAAAAATAACTTACCTAATTAAACTCAATTTTATTTTATTTATCAAAGTTGATGGGATGGCAATGGTTCGGGTCGGACACGGATAGTGCCTATCCACAACCCGACTTGACAAAAAAAATTCATCCGCTACTCGATTCGCTACTCGCACGGATATCCGCTTAAAAAATATCTGCGGGTATTTTAAAACTCGCTGATACTCATGGATATCCGCGGATACCCGCAAATATTAAAAAAAAATATTTTAATAAATTATTAAAATAAAATTTAAATAGAATTACAAAAAATATATAAAATATAATATAAATTAAATTAAATTTAAATTTAAATTCAATTTTAATTAAATTTAATCTTGTAAAATATAAATTAATTTTAATTTTAATTAAATTTAACTTAATAAAATATAAATTAAATTTTTATTTTTTCTTTTTGCGGGTACGGATAGTATAATACCCGCATCCGACCCGTTTATAAGCGGGTATTAAACTATCCACTATCCGCGGGTTGCGGTTAGTAAATATCCGCAGGTATTAACTATCCGTCGCGGATTTTATCCGCGGGCGCGGATTTTTTTGTCATCCCTAGTTGACGGGTTTGGAATTCCATTTCATGGGTCGAAATTCAGTTATCTCAAAAACGGATTTTCGATTTGATTTTTCTTTTTTTCAAATATTTTAAAACAATGAATAAAATTTTAAAAACTTAAATAATAAAATAAAGGATTTGATGTTAATGGATATTGTAAAATCTCATAAAATGGTATCTTAGAAGTGGTGATAGTCTAAAAATAGTGAGACTCAATTATTTTAATATTATACGGTTTTATTATAAATAATTTTGTTATAAAACGAGTTTCACTATTTTAAAACGTATCATCTCTCTAGAAACCACTTTTCTAGGTTCTCTACCTTCTCTATAAGAGTTCTAACTTCTGAGTCATCTCTTTGAGGATCAGGAGGTAACTGATTGACCATGACAACAAGGTCTACAAATCTAACCGTTTTAACTCCTATACGTTCTTGATTTATTTAGAGTTCTAAGGACTCTATCCGTTTTCAATTTGGTGTTTCCTAGGTTCGTCTAGGTATTCCTTATATGGTTTAAGTAATCGTCGGAGCTTTTTTAGAGTTGGGCAGTTTCTTTGAGAGGTAAGGGAAACTAGTTAGCTCTTTTAAAATTTGTAATATGTTGTGTGAATTTGAGATTATTATAATTAAGCTGTTTAAGTTAAAAAGTGTGATTTTGTAGGTAGAAATTGGATGAATGCATGCTTTGTATGTTGATTGATGTTGATAATGTGTGGAATTTGTTATATATGTGTTATGATGTCATAGTTGAGGTTCTTGAGTTGAATTGTACCAAAATGGGAATCTTATATAGGAGAGTAATCTTGGTTGTTGGTGGTTTGGTATAAAATAAAGGTTTAAGATAGTAAAAAAGGTGAGAAAGGGTTGTTTAATTGAATTAGTGGAATTGAGGTTGTTTATGAACTGATTTGGATTTTGTTTAACATTTGGAATGTTAGAGAATTGGGAGTAGAGTGTTTTGGTAATGAGGTAGAGTTCTACTTGTGTTAGAACTCAATTTGGAGAAAGTGGGGTAGTGAAAACTTGAGTTTGAAGTTTTGTGTGCAAAGGGTCAGTTTGGAGAGTCTTGGTAAGTCATTTGGGACTTGTTAGAGTCCCTAAGTTGTTTGGAATTATGCCACAAATAGCCAAATTCAATTTGAGTCTCTAAGTTGAATTTTTGTAAGTTTTTGGGAAAGATCTTGAGGTTACTTGTTGAGATTGATGTTAGAAGAGTTTAAACACCCTTGGTTGAGTATATTTGAATGTATAACACAATTTAAGAAGGTTAGAAGTTGTGAAAATTATATCGAATTGGTCTAGGGCATTTTGGGGTGATAATTCTGCAGTTTTCGTGCTGCAGAATTATGCAGACTCGCTGAATGAATGAATTTGCTCAGCGAAAGGTCAAAAGTTTGGTTTGCTGTCAGAGGACTTTCGCTTAGCGAATGGTGTGCGTTGAGTGAATTGTTGAGGTCTGGGAGCATTGTCAGTTTTACCCTTGTTTTTGTTTTTGTGTTGTCTGTTGTGTGTTGTTTCTCTTTTGCGATGATCACCTTAATAGTGTGAGCTTAGGGATAAAATCTTTCAGTTGACTCAACGGGAGGTTGGGAGTGAAGCTTGCAGTTTAGGTTGTACTTTTATTCTTCAGGTTTAAATTTTTATTTATAGTATATTTGTAGTGCTTGTTATATCATTATCCATGTAATGTTCATTTTAGTAGTCTTATATTACTAAATTGGGATGTTACAGATATTCATTGACATTATTTAATTTATTTTTTAATATAAATTATTATTATTAATAATGATTTATATAAAAAAGGAAAGTAATTACATTATATTTTAATTATTCTTCATAAAAAATAAATATTTAAAAAATAACTAAAAAGCACATTTAAAAAAAATTAAAGAAAGAGTTTCAAATTGTATTAATTATAATTTAATTATTTATAACAATATTAAAATATAAGGTATGTTAATAAAAATTTAAAATTTATTATTAGTTGTATAAATTAAAAAATTAGTTGGAAAAATTTTGCTTTAAATATTAAAAAGTATAAATTTAATTGAGATAAAAGAGTTGTTTGACATAGATAATTATATATTTATATTTATAAAAGTATAATAGATTCAACTCATTATTTCAAAGATTAATTTTAAAACATGTTAAATAATATTTAATGATGAAACATTTAAATATAATAAAAAATAAAAAATGTATATTTAGGATTTAGGGTTTAATGTTTAGTGTTTAAGGTTTGGGGTTTAAGGTTTGAGGTTTGAGGTATACAATTAGGGTATAGGTTTAGGGCTCATAGTTTAGAGCTTAGGGTTTGAGGCTTAGGGTTTAGGGCTTACGGGTTAATGCTTAGGGTTTATGGTTTACGGTTTAAGGATTAAGGTTTATGGTTTAGGGTATGGGGTTTAGGGTATGGGGTTTAGGGTATTGGGTTTAGGGTATGGTGTTTCAGGTATGAGGTTTGAGGTTTTGGGGTTAGGATTTAGGGTCTAGGGTTTAGTGTATTGGGGTTAGGGTCTAGGGTATATGGTCTAGGGTCTATGATTTATGGTATTGGGTTTAGGGTATTAGGTTTAGGGTAGTGGGTTTAAAGTTTAGGGTTTATGGTTTATAGTTTATGGTTTAGGGTTTATGGTTTATGGTATATGGTTTAAGTTTTAGGGTATAAGGTTTAAGGTTTATGGTATTGGGTTTAGGGTATTAGGTTTAGGGTACTGGGTTTAGAGTTTATGGTTTATAGTTTATGGTTTAGGGTTTATGGTTTATGTTTTTGTTTCTTGTTTATTTTTTATGGTTTATTGTTTATGTTTTATGGTTTATGGTTTATTTTTTATTTGTTTTGTTTTATGTTTTTTTTTAGGTTTATTTTTTAAATTTTTACATTTTTTAGATTTTATGGTTTTATGTTTCTTTTTTATTTTTTAGTTTTTTTATTTTTTAGTTTTATTTTTACATTGTTCTTTTCTCTTTTTTTACCTTTTTTAGTTTATCCATTTTTAATTTTTATTTTAATTGTTTTTATTCATATTTTTTTTTTCATTTTTTATATTTTATTTTTTATTCTTTCTTTTTTAATTTTTTTTTTTTTTTGATTTCTTTTTTCCTTGTTTACTTTTAAATTTTTTTATTTTTTCAACTTTTTTTGCTTAGTTTAATTTTGTTTTATTTTCTTTTCTTTTTTAATTTTTCATTTTTTATTTTTTTATAGGTTTTTAAGGGTTTACTGTTTAAGGTTTAGGGCTTAGTGTTTAGGGTTTAAGGTTTAAAGTTTATGAGTTAGCGTTTAGGGTTTATGGTTTAGGGTTTACGGGTTAGGGTTTATGGTTTATGGTTTATGGTTTATGGTTTTGGGTTTATGGTTTTGGGTTTAGGGTTTAGGGTTTAAGGTTTATGGTTTAGGGTTTAGGGGTTATGATTTAGGGTTTAAGGTCTAAGGGTTATGGTTTAGGTTTGATTTGGGGTTTAGTTGGTTTATGGTTTATTGGTTGAGGTTTAGGTTTAGGGTTTTTGGTTTTTAGGTTTTGTGGTTTGGGTTTTTGTTTAGGGTTTTGTTTAGGGTTTCTGGTTTGTGGGTTATTTGGTTTAATGTTTTTGTTTTTGTGTTTGGTTTTTTTTGGTTTTTTTAGTTTTTTTGGTTGGGTTTGGGTTATAGTTTTATTGTTTTTGGTTTAGGGATTCTGTTTAGCGTTTATGTTTGGGTTTAGGTTTATGGTATTTGTTTTGGGTTTATTGTTTAAGATTTATGGTTTTGGATTTAAGGTTTAAGGTTAGGGTTTAGGGTATTGTATTTATGGTTTATGGTCCAGGGTTTAGGTTTAGGGTTTAGGTTGGTTTTGCGGGTTTAAGGTATTGGGTTCAAGGTTTATGGTCTAGGGTTTAGGGATTAAGGTTTATGGTTTAGGGTTTATGGTTTAGGGTTTTGGGTTTAGAGTTTTGAGTTTTGGGTTTTGGATTTAGGGTTTTGAGTTTTGGGTTTAGGGTTATGGTGTAGGGTTTATGATATTGGATTTGGGTTTATGGTTTATGGTTTACTGTTCATGGTTTAGGGTTTATGATTTTTTATAAGTATAGGTATATAAGGATAAACAAGTGACATTGAAATACCTTAAATATAATTGAAATTGAACATGTAAGCATGAAGAAAAGCTAAAAAAACGCTAAATGGGTTGATTTTATGATTTGGATAATAAATAGTGATGTCAAAACGAGTCATCCGATCCAACACGGATTGACCGCTTAGTGAGTCGACCCAATCTGGGTAATTTTTTATCGAGTCAAATTTTTTTAACCCGGCTCAGTCCACAACGGGTTGGAGGATTAAATGGATTGGCTTACTAGCTCTCTGAAATTTTAAGTTTTTTTTTAATTCAAAAAAATTATAATTTGTTTGTAATTCAAATTTAAATAATTTCACTCTAAAATGGTGTTAAACTCGAGAGACAATTCAAAATAAAAAATTAACATACAACTCAAGTATAATTCAAAAGCATATCAAAAAGCAAATAAATAAGTTTATAATATTGATATTTTTGTTGTCACTTGTGCATTTATAAGATTAAAGTTTTGAATGGATATATTTATAATATTTAAGTTTATTGAAACATCTATTTATAATATTTAAGTTTATTGGAACATCTTTTTTTATGTTCTCATTTACACTACAATAAAAAAAAGTTAATTAATAATATTTAAACACAAAATAATAAATAGTTTAATTAAACAATATGGATTGGTGAACCAACCCGATTCATCACCACATATTCAATCTAGATTAATCGATTCTAAATAAGTTGGATTGAAAATTAGTCCGTCCCTGACAATAGTGTTTTCGAGTAAAATCAATATTTGTTTTCTTTTTCTCAAGATTGCAAACCCTTAAACCCCTAGTTCCATTCTTCTTTCTTTGCCACTAAATCCCCATGTTGTAAAAGATTCACCATCACCAATGACCAAGTTTGTAAATGCCTTGTTTTTGCCTCCCCGATTTGGTCTTGTTGAAGAAGATTTTCCCCAAACAGAAGCACCTCTCTTGGTTGATGACACTCTTGTGCTGCTTCAGAGGTTGGATGCAGGTGGTGGTGCAATACGTCCCCATCTATAGTGTTATTGTTATCCAAGAAGACATGAAAATGTTCGCATCAAGAAGCTCACGAACTAGCACAACTGTGAACATAGATGGAAGAAGATGGTTGTGGCTGGGTGTGGATTTTTGAGTTCCAGAACACCAACTCCAAAACTTTTATTTTTTAATCAAAAAATACCTTTCAAAACACTAAATTTGAAAAATATAAAATAGTACATTTCAAAATAAATATTTTAAAAAGTAATTTTTTAATTTAGAAATATTTTCTAAAACACCCAATCAGAAATAGAATTTTTTGTTAATAGATATTTCGAAAAATATTTTTAGATTTAGAAATATTTTTTGAAATATTCAATCTAAAATACTTTTTTTTTTATATTTTTCGGATTGAGTGTTTCAAAAAATATATCAATATTTCTGCATTCCAATCCAGAAAATTTAAAACGAAAAGAGGTGTAAGATTTTTATTATATTTTCGTTGGGAATTATAAATTTTATGGGGTGTAGGAAGATAAATGGGGTGCAGGAAGAAGCAACCCTCGATTTAAGACCACAGCAGTCCAACTTTACTTATGCTAGTTCCTTGAACTTCATTAGCAAGAGTTGTAAGCTAGACATTATGAACATTAGTGGTTTGTGTCAGTTTAGACAATTGTGTTATGGGACATTCATAGGTGGAGATCGAAATTCCATTTCAAGAACACGTATAGAAGCAACTCACGAATGAAGGAGATTGGTGCAAGTAAGAACAACCGACCCACCTCTTTGACTATATACGAATGACAACAATAGTTAAACGATGATCATCTGACATAATAACAGAAGAATTGTTCTGCTCTAAAGATCCATTGAAGGTTGACTCTAACATTTCAAACTAAATTACATTCTTCATCTTTCTTTTCCACATTCTCTTAAGCAACTCTTTAATATCGGTCAAGTGAAGTGATTATTTTATGTATTGAGTTTTTTTTCTCCTTTCTGTCCATCTCTAGTTGTCTCATTTACCCTGCTTTGCATGTCATCAATAAGCTTTCTTCCATATAAGATTGGCATACTCCGGATGATCAACAAAAGGATTCCGATTATGCTGATAAAATTTGCAGATCCTCTCATTTCTCAATTTTTCTTCCCTTGAAGGTGGATCAACCTCATTCCATTTTAATAAAGTGGTAAGGAGACCCATCTCTCTGTTTTCTGCATTCAATATTTTTTTCATTAAGTTGTCATCAAATTGTGGTTGAGATTCATGTCAATTTGTGATGATAAAATTACTACTAAAAAATATATAATCAGGAGATAAAATGAATTGTCCAATAAACAATTGAAATTAAATTAAGATAGCTCATAATAATTTGAGGATTATTAAGCAAGGCATGTTCCCCCTAAGGGTTTGTGCCAAAATTCCAAATATACTGTGAATGAGAACTTCCATAGCTAAAGTGTTGAAGTTCAACATACCAATGTTAGGGGTATCCGAGAGTTGAAGACCTGGACTTTCCCCTGGTTGCCGGAAACAATAACAAACTGCCATGTACATTAATGCCCTTGCTATATCTCCTCTAACCTGAGATTAGTTTAACTTCAATAAATTTTATACTCACAATTGTCCAAATGAAGAAACATAAAATCTAATCACAAATAGATGAAGTACAATATCAATACTTTCATCATCTATCTCATTCCTTTAATTATTGTTATTAGTTTGCAACTACAAGTTAGTTGTGAAAATCAGATGTATTTGGACAATTGTTTTTTAATTTAGAATTTAAAATGTTTCATGAAAATATATATTGTTTATATATATATATATATATATATATATATATATATATTTTTAGGAAAATATTTGAATTGTTTGAAATTAATTTCAAGTTATGTATAATTAAAAGAAGTAAGAATTTAAATTTCAAGTAAGACCAAATATCAAATATGAAGGTCTGAAACTGATAATTTTGAAAAGAGGACAGAAAGTATGACCTGCATAGGTGGTGCCCAGCTCTGCTTGTCTGATTCAGTGTCGAAAGCAGCTTCTTTGTTAGCTGGCCTCAAACATTTGGTTGAGCTAGTAACGCATTCACCATAGTACTTGTTCCCCCTTGATGAATTGACTGAGAGATACTTGGTGCATCAGCAACTGAAATTGCAATCTTGACTTGTAAATGAGGGAGCAGTGGCTTTCCTTACCATTTGCATCAGCAGGCCGAATTTTATGTAAGTCAGTCAAAGATGGACCTTTGGTCAGCCCATAAGAACGAGGCCATAGATGTTCCCCTGTGAAACAAAATTACTTAACTAGGTTTCTTATATTTCTACACTATGTATCTTCAAACATTTTGTATATTCACCCTTTATATACAAATTTATGAGCCAGAATGACCATGTTAGAAAACTAGCAAGAAAGCAAATGTAAAAAAAGTTTATGATAGTAAAGGAGAAACTAACATCTAAATCACGGTAAGTCTAACAAATTGATTAGTTTACTCACTGTTCCATCCCTCTGGTTTTCCTGATAACCGTTTTGGGACAACTCTCAAGGAGTAAATTTCAACTCTGCACATCGTGATCATTAGTTACCTAAAATCAAGCTAAGGCAATTAAAAGCCATGGCAAGTCTATACATTTCAGACGAAGCTTCTGGGTTATTAACATCCGCAGCATCAAGAACCTTAAGGGCATCCCACACCTGTTTCTACACAAACATTTCAATTCAGCTTGAAGATATAAATACAAATGGACAAAGCGTGTATATTTAAACCCCCAGTGACCTCTCGGTAGGACAAGGAATGGTGTGGGGCAATGATGCTATTCAATTGTCTCTTGAGTGCTTCACCAGTTAATCCTAAATTCTTTACGGGAGTATAGTAATTGCTAATGTCCTCACAGGGATAAGTAGAGGGAGTTGGATAATCAGAGGCTGCAGCAGCCAGATTCAGAGATAGCAAGTAAAAGGAAACAAGTCTAGAGAGCCATTTGCACAACATATCAAAACATGTCCTGAAGAAAAGGAAATAGTTCTTAGCTTCACATATCACAACCATGACAATACGGATCATTACCCGGCACCATAAAACGTAAACACAGACACACACACCTCTCGTTGACGCTGCCATAAATTGCAATCGTAGATTTCTGACGGCTTGAACTGACGACCCAATTGCGGCGGCGGCTCGGCGGCACTGGTCCGGCGGGTATGTGAAGTTGAAGTATTGTGAAGTGGCGGCGGCGACATGAAAAGAACGGGGTTGGGATCAGCTCAGTCGAGCCTAGCCTCATATTTGAAATGAGTGAATAAACTATTATCCACATCACAGCAGATCTGATATCAACTTTTTTATTCTTGTATGAAAGTAATTTCTCCATAACGTAAAAAAGAATAACCACCTAACTTTGTCAAAAACGTATCAAATGAATATACCTTGGTGTGAGAAAAGTACGTAAAATTGTTAAAATTTGATGGAAAATTTTTATGGTCATTGTTTTTAGCTGAACACTCAGTATGCTTAAATCATTTTTAATAGTATTAAGTTTATTCATGGTCGTATGTTAATTTCGAAAAGTTACTTTAATTTTATTACGTAACGTTCGTGCAATTCATTTATTTTTTTAAGGTGGCCTAATTAATATATTTGTTAAAAACATGCGTGCATTGATTTTCGAGCGATATGAAAGTAATTAAAGAATCGTAAAGAATGTTGACTAAGAGATTATTCGAATTTAACTGTCTGATTTGAATTGAATAGGCGAAAATTTTATTAATGCAATTTATTATAGTCATATTAAGTTTAAATAAAATTAGAAAAGAATTAAATAAATAGAGTAACTCCAATTAGACAGCAAAGAATGTGTATTTGAATTTATTTAAAATGAGTAACTGGTTGAATAATTTATAAGCCATTAAATACGAACATTATTATTAAGGGGAAGAGTAAATAGAGAAGAGGGTGGTGAGTGGTGAAAGTGACAAGAGGAGCCTAAGTGGAAAGAAAAGAAGGAAAAGAAAGAGAGGCAAATCCAAAAGAAAACACACAGAAGGAAACAAAACATATCATACATACGAACAGAGTACTTGAAGTATTAGCAGCGATACGATAGCAGGGGGGCCTTGTGGAATGTAGCAACACGAGACGCTTGGCACTTGCATAAACCAACGTGTTATGGATTTCGGTGCCTCTCTCTTTTCCAATTAAATAAACCCCTTTTCTTCATATATATCCTTCTCTTCTTCTTCGTATTCTTTCAAATAAACTACCATTAATCTTATTCTATGCCTCATTTCTCTGTTCACTTCACACATGGGTTGGTGGCATAAGATCACAAAAACTTGGACTGCACTCTCTGCTCGTATCAAGCTTCGAAAATCAAGTGGGTCCTTTCTACCCTTCTAAATTTCTCTTTTAAATATTCATTCTTTTGTAATCGGGTTTACCTTATACCAGGGATTTCCGGTGGCCGAGTTGCTGGAACCGGTGAATACACCAGTGATTGTGGGGGAATCAGTGGGGGGTTGTTGAAGCTTCGTGATGATGTGCAAATGTGTGGGTACAGAGATGTTGAGGTGATGTGGAACATGTTGAACATAAGTCTTCAGCATGACCAAATGGAAGCGGCGAGAAGCTCCAACAACTCAGAATTTCGCAAGCGTGGGTACAAGCAAAGATCTATTTCCAGGGTTTTGTTCTGGACTAGCCATCTAGTAAATTGAACGAATGATCAAGTTTTGGAAAAGAATTAATGTGAACGTATTGTACATGCCAATGAATGAAACCTTATTTCATGATTATGTGAATAATAGAAGAAGTTTCTGTTCTGGTATGTTATATACTATGCATGTAACCCTTCAGTTTGTCCCTCTCTGCTCAGATAAGGGGAAAGGCAAGGAAAATCTGTGTGTTTGTTGCCAATTAGGAACCGCTATATGGAAGATGTAGTGTTTTGTTTCAACTTTTCTTCACAGGTAACAAAGATAAACACGGCTTAAAATTTATAACTGAAGTTCTGCATCGAGTATAGTGACAGGTTTGAATGGAACTAGTGGTGAGGTTGCATCAATTGATGATCAATCGGTGTCACAATACATGCATTTGAAGTGTTTGATGGTTGTTTTCGCTGATTTTTGTGACGTGTATTGGTTGAAGTGTTTTGAGTAGTAGTTATTAGCCGAACAGAGCGAATATATAGAGATTGAAGAGTTGAATTTTGAAGATCTGTTTTGCGGCTTTTTCTTTAGGACTTGGCATAATAATTCTTCAATCACATCTTAGCATAGTTGCACGCATTGCGGATCTAGCTAAAAGCATTCGGTTTCCTTTTGTCTACATGTACGGAAGAAATTATTGTTAGTGTGGTTGCAAATCTGTAGGGCCACAGAGAATGATTAAATCTTAGGGTATAAAATGCAATTATCGAATAGTATAGTTTTAAAAGTGATATCTACTATTATTTTTAATGAGTTGGTAAAGTAAAATATTTACACTAATATATCCAACACAACTTTCTGATCATTTCGAACTTATAGATGAAAATGAAAACAAATACAAATATCATCAATTAGTCAAAATTCAAGAGCACTAGTATTTACGTGTGGCAGGCTACTGGCGTGTCCATTTTCATCGTTATCACCTTCTACATGAGCAAAATCATATAATATGCCTATTAAAAAAATCAATTATATAATTATTTGTAACAACAAAAAGCCAATAATAAAATAGATAAAGTTAATTATAAAAGGTAAACTAATGAAAATATTTATGTCATTTAAAATTTTCAAGCACTCATCAAGATTATAGCAATTTTTGTAGCATATTCAATACCAAAAACAAATTATTCATATTTAATATCTTTTATTTAAATTATATTGTAATTATTAATTACTTTTATTTTATTAAGTTGAACTGATAATGCGAAAAATTTGTAATTTTAGGGATTCTTCTTAAACATATTTCAATAAATCAATGTAATAAACTACCTATAGGTTGTGTGGCATGTAAGGAGTCTTTGGTCTGGTTTGATCTATTTATTTATTACAGAAGTCAAGTTAAGATCATAAACAATCATAAGCAAACCAAGAGTTTCTTAAAATCATTATTCAAACTACGTCTAAGTTTAGTTCTTGGGATAGTGGGCCGATCCGGAAATGGGCCTAAGGAGTGAGGAAAAAGGCCAAAATTGGTCTCCCACGAAAGCATTTTTTTCAGTAACACCTGGGAACGAGTGTTGTCATTCGGAGGTGGAGGAAGAGTGGAAGGAAGTAGTAGCAATTAGCGATGGCGTACATGAGCATGGGAGAAGCTCACAGAAGGATAACAGAATATCTGAATCGCTTTTCCGACGCCGTTTCGTCGCAAGATGGAAGTTCGTTCAAGTCTCTCTTTGCTCTCTCCTCCAATTCCCCTTACCTTCTCTCTCTCGCCGACGCTCTCAACCTCTTCCAAGACGCCAACAGACTCATCAAACAATCGGAAAACTATTCTCAGTTCGCCGACATCCTCGTTCCCCTCTTCCGATCCCTCCAAAACTACCGCCAGAACAACTTGCTCGAGGCCTATAACGCTTTCGAAAAAACCGCCAAGTAACTTTACTTCCCCCCCCC